TAATCCTTACTGTTAATTTGGAATATCATTTAGTACCTGTAGTTGTTGACAAAAAATATCTTTATTATTGTACTCTATCCATATTTTTCAAAAAATAATAAAAAAAAAAAAAATTGTAGATGCATCCTCATTAAGGAGTTGCCATATCTTGAAATATATAGTTTTTAACATATCATTGATTTTTTATTGAGTAAGCAATTCGTATATATTGATTAGGTTGATAAGATTTTCTTCCAGTAATAATTCGTCTAAAATAAAAATTTGTTAAATTATATTATTAATCTTATCACAAAAAAGTAAACAAATTTAGAGGTTGGGAACCGACCAAATTTCTTTAACCGGTTAATAACCGGTTAAAATATTTGTTAACCAGTTAATTAACCGGGTAAAATTAACGTTGGCCAGTACTAAAATTATGGTCAGAGAGTTAGTCAATATTTTGCAATGATAAAAATCTTAATTCTGGCCGGAAATAGAATTTCGGCCGGAGTTAAATTCATCTATATTAACCGGTTAAAAAAAATCTTTAACCGGTTAACATGTTAGCTGTTTTAACCTGGTTCCAAACTCTAAACAAATTTACCTTTTTTCGTGATTTTTAAAGGGTTTTCTATTTTTTTTTAAAAGAATTTAGTATAAATGGTGAGAAAGAGAATGATAATGAACTTCTCTTCAAAATTTTAAGTTAATATCGTTGCAAAGCATAATGACTTATAAATAAAGTTCATATTGTAGCATATAAATAAACAGCGTTGCTAAATCTCACCCCTGTTAATGATAGCACCTCATCCGGTTAATATTAACTTCGTCAAATATATAGTGGTTAACATTAACCTATTTAAAAATTAAAATTCCGTTAATATTAACAATTATTTAATTATGTAAAAATTTTATTATCATAGTATTAAACCTTTTGAACAGCTTTGCTCGCACAATATTCTATAAGTTTTACAACTATTCAAATAAAAAAATAACTACATGATGTGTAAATTTCGTTATGCTATGAATATTTTATTATAAGTTTGATAAATCTACACTACATTACATGTTCTTCACACTTTTTAATTCTTTAGAATCGTTTAATTCATAGATTTCATTAGATAAAGGGCGCCTATTACTTGTATGGGATAAGGGTGAGAATCGCGAAGTCAAGTCAAAAAATAAATTTTATTTTACGTAATAGGATATCACGTGACAAGTTACAAGTATCAAATCTCGTGATTTATCTATTAAATAATTAATTATACTCAACGATAATTTTTTATTCATTATATTATTATTTAATGATCTTGCTTTTGAAATTCAAAAATTAAAATTTATCGTCACTAATTTTCTTTGTTAAATGACTTATTTTTTACACAATTTTGTGACGCGTCTTTCAAAACTTCAAAATATATGCTCAAAAATAAAATTTCATTGTCAAGTCTGTGAATTTGTTGGTTATATTGTTAGTGCAATAGTTTCCTCAATGTATGCAACTTTTCTTTAAAAAATTAAACCTTTTCTTTTTCATACATTGCTTTCAATAAGATGAAATACGCAATCATTCAGAAATGAATAATTACATAGACGATATTTACGAAACTTCGAAAGGTAGTAAATTTCTATAGTTAAGTAACGATTTTATGATACAAGCATATCAATAATTTTTAATCTTGCTATTATGTCTTTATTTTATTTTTTTTTTTCAAAAAGTTCAATGCGTTTCTAAGATTAATTGTTAGCCATGAAGGAAATAATCAATTTCTTGCTTTTATTGTTTTCGGCGAAATTACAAATCAAAAGAAGTTACTCTATAAGCTATCGCAACTTCACTGACCGCTCCATCAGTTGTTGCTATTACATCTTCTGCAGCATCAATTTCTACACTAATTTTGAGATGTTTGCCAGGATTATACTTATCCAAGCTGCGTTGGATGCCATTAAATATTATCCAGCCACAGGAAGAGCAAATAGAACAATAGTAATGGCTAAAGGACTTTGAGCCAGTTTATTTTAGGCGATGGCGGCGGCGGAGGTTGCAATTCTTTTAGATTATCGGTAGTCATTTTTAACACTTAGTTCACTAAGGGCAACATGGAACCCTAGATCCCAATAATTGAATAGCTTGTTTGCCGAATTAATCATGTGATATGTAGCAACATTTCCAACATAAACTTCAGGACTGAACGAGCTGCCTGTACCGAACTGAAGAGAATTAGCGTATGTTCCAACTTAATTACCAGTCAAATAATCGCTGTATTCGGCTACATGTTCTGTTTGTTTAATTTGAAAACCGGGTGTTTATCTTCACTGCAATACTTTGCAATTAGATCTGGGATAAGTATATTTTGCATGTATGTAATGTAAGTAGTCGAAATAAGATTCATCGTGTAATTACTTAATAGACATTTATAGCATGGTCCATTTTGGTATCCAAATCTTTTTATTTTTTGTTCAACGTATAAGAAAATCACTATTTTTCGCATTAAAATTTTAGAAAATGAATAGCAAAAAAAATTGTCAAACTCCTTTAATTTTACGATTTTCATTATCGGAATTGCATTTTTTTTCTTTTATTTTATTTTTAACTTTATTTTTTCAAATTAGTCAAATATCGTTATTACTGCTATCGGTCTCGGAACAGTCGGTCATCATTCTTGTCCGGTCCGATCCCGGAGCATTACTTCATTTATTTATATTTTACAACAGAATTTTTTTTTTTATCATCTCACTCAATATATTCAAAAGAAAAGAAAAATTAAATGCAAAGTCAAACATACATTATATTGCTAACATTAACGTGTCATGTCTGATTTTAATCTTTATTTCATCGGAACTATGCGAATTCATGATCAACGAGATTGACTCACATTTTTATTGTTTTACCAATTCTACCAAATAGAATCCCACAGACTGGTTTGTTTAGTTGCTAGTGAGGTGTTATAATATTATCAAGTGGATAGTAAATTTTTTAAAAAGAAATACTTCATTTGGTTCAATTATTTTTTTAATAAATCAGCCAATGGTGAATTGATAATTTTGATCAATATATAAGATAAATTCTTATTATAAAAGTAAAGTAATATTGTAAATTTACCCAAATTGGTTAATGGAGATATTGATCCGAGCAAGTTTAATATTTGTAATTCGATTGTAATCCAAGTTTTGCATCACTTAATCTCATAGTTTCTCTGCTAAATATTTTGCAGAAATGGTGGTAAGTGAAATTAGAATGTGCAATCATTTTATTTTTAATTTGACAAAAAAAAAAAATAATAATAATAAAATAATAATTTCTCTAAGCTTTTAAATTGACTTTAATCAAAAGTTAAAGGACGTCGTAATTAAGTGTTTGTTTGTTCAAAATTTTGAATCGTTAGAACACCAGAAGGAGTAATAATTGATATAAAAGGAGATCGTGAATATGTAATTTAATCTTTTGAAAATTCTTTAAAAGGATTATTGAGTTTGATCTCTATTATCAACATTGTATCCTAACAAATAAGTTAATCAAATCGTTCATTTTAGTCGTAAGATAATGATGTAACAATTTTTTTTTTATAAAAGCTCTATAGAGGAACCGTTGCCGCTATGATGGAACTTGTGAAATAAAAAAATGAAATACATTAGACTCTAGGAATGTACTATAATTCGACGCGCTTATAAAGTTCATTTTATAACTGTTCTATGTTAAAAGTTTAAATCTGTTGAAATATTAAGTATACTAATGTAATATTGAAGAATGAAGACTTGAAATTAATTTATTTCAAAATGTATTGCACTTCATCGAATGATGGAATTGTTAAATAAGCAAAAAAATGTTATATATTACTATTAACCGGTTGACCTTAAGTAATGTCTAGAAGGTAAGTATTCAATTATTGTAAAAAAATTAATAATCTCTGGAAGAAACAGCTGGTATGACATTAAAATCAAATTCAGATCGGGTATTTCTAAATCTAGCCCTTATAACCTTTACCATGTGATAAATAGGTGACAAATAGTTAAATTAGCGCAATAACGGTCATGATTGTGATCGTTAGCACCCTAAACAAGTGAGTAATCGATTCTGTTTTCTGAATATTCAATTGATTTTATGTTACTTATTAACTTTCACTTATTAATTTAAAATAGTGATAAAATATAATGATTTTTATAAACATAATATAAATCATAGTATTTAAGACTTTACTAAGAATGTAAATTATTATAAGTTATAAAGTATCAAATTGTATATTACAAAAATGATTTTATATTAGAATTATACTATTCTTATGGCTGATTGTTTAAATTTTATTATCCATCAAATACCTTCTAATATAATGTATCTTTATGTAAATTTGTTACAAACTTATAAATAATTTTGATAATTTACAAAAATAATTATTCGGGCCGTATATGATTTTGTTTTACTTTGAACGTTGAGTAATTTGTCACGAAGAGAGAATTTAAATCATGATATTTATTAATTAAATAAAGAAACATTTATAAATATTAGTTTATTGTTATTATTTTATAAAAGAATGTTAGAAGTGAACTAACATTTATTAAATCTAAAATCTTTTGTTTTTTTTTTAGAACCATTTTGCGATTCTAAAAATATGGATATTAATTGCTTTATGAAATTATGAAATGCATTAATATCAGCTTGTCCTAATCACCATCTTATGCAATAATTAAAAAACACTCCCGGAAATAACAATCCTAGATTGCTCTGATTCTGCTGCTACATCAAGTATGTAGTATTCCTTCATCATAATCTTGTTGGCAATTTGTTTTTGATTACTCTTACCTTACCTTGTGTCATTATCTTTAAATGGAAGGTACTCAATGACTGTGATAAAGCATTAAGATGTCATTATCAATTAATGATATTCAGAAGCGCATCATCCGACGATATCTATTGAAAATCATCTTTTAATTGGTACCATTTTTTCTACAATTTTCTGAATCGTTTATACTGTGGCAACAAGATGTAATAATGGATTTTCGTCACTGGATCCAAAAACTTCGTCAAAATGAGACATCAAAGATTTGAGAAGGGTTATTGGACTCAGGTAAAAAATTTCATAATAGAGGACTTTGGTGGCGTTTACGTTCTCGCTCGTCAAATGGGAATCGAGTTACTTTTATTCCTTGAAATATTAAAATTTCCAGGATTGAAACTTTGAAAATTTTATTTGATCAACCAAAAGTTGCTGACAGTGCTTTCCAATCTTCAACTGGTACACTCTCATCCCGACTTATATTTATGATTATAACTCTGAAAGTTGAATTTTTATGAACCTGTAAGGGCACAAACATACGCTCGATTAATTAAGTAATGTTATTTGAAGCATCGTTAAGATGTAAGCAATTTTGCTTCTCCAAATACTGAGCAGCATTACATATTATAACCTCTTGCGCTATAGTAGGTATCGCTATTTTAATATTCATTAATACATTTAAAAAATGAAACTTGAGAGGGAATTCCAAGGTACATATGAAATCTCTTTCTTTCATAAATAAATTCTATGAAACATTGGCAAACATTCCGAAAAGAACCACATGAACAAGTTGAGGAAACATTATGATCAAGTTCGCACATGTGGACAATTATAAACTTTATCTTATCATCATGCAAATCTAAACAAGCAATAACGAGCAAGCTGAATTGCAAACGTTTCAATGTATACATATTGAGGCTTCAAATCATGATTTGAACGTTGTTCAGAATAGGAGTATAATTTGAAAGAAAAAGTTATTAAGTTTCAACTAATTAAATGTTTTTAAGATTAAAAAAAATTTGTTTATTTTAATTTTTGAATAACGCGCGTGATACTTCGATCAATAAAAATAGAAGATATAAAGATCAAATATATTTATTTATTTTGTTTAAATTTTATATAAAATTAATTAATTAGGCTAACCTCTTTAATGATTTATATATATTTTAATACTTAGGAATATACGAATCTGATTAAATATTTTCCTTCGTTACATTGAATTAAAATTGTGTAACCATCATCGAACATGTTGTCTATTTTTCGTCACTTGCAAGAACGTTCGTTCGTATAAAGGTGGAGATCAAAATAGTAAATGGACGTATTTTATGTATAATTTCATCAGGAGAAAGTAAGGTTAAAATGATCATCCAAGATAGTTATTATTTGAACAGCAAATAAATTTACCTGTGTGACTGAACTACTCCATCTTTATATATATATTTAAGGTTAAACTTGCTGCATGGTGGTAATCTATCGGACTTTTTGTCTCCGAAAAATAAATTATAAGCATTGAAATTGCATTATCAAATATTTTTCACTATAATATTTTTCAATTTCTATTATTAACAAAATGGAACTTACGAAAAATGAGACATTTGACCCAACCCCAAATTTAATATCTAGCCCTGTGCCAATTTTGTTTATTTCATTTAATGAAAATGATAACAGTTGCAATTATTGTGGACTTGAATTTTCTAAGTCAATTTATGATTATAAATATTGTAAAAATTGCTTAACTTGTTATATTAAATCTTTAACTGATAATGATATATACTTGGATGTTCGCATAGTTACAGATTACACTTGGTGTAGTAAACATGTACTAAGAAATTCAGATTTTTTGACGCATAATATTCAAGAATGGTGTTTAAATTGCTCGGAAATTTTATACTTTGTACAAATTATTCCAAATGATCGAAATAGCGTCATTATGTGTCATATATGTGGAAAAGGTTTATATAATGGTGATATATGTTCTAATTTTATTTGATTTCTAATGGACAGACAGAATCAACAGTCATTAAAAAATCAATTCTAATATTTTATTTTCCATTCTGGGATGCCAGAAACTCTTGTATAATCTGTGATAGAAAATTAAATTTTGTAACAGATTGTCAAAAGTGGTGTTTATACTGTTTTGTAGTATATACTGGATGTAGATATTGCTTAACGACAAATTTTATATTTGGAATTACCGATCAATCCCAATGTAGGAAATGCAAGAGAGTAGTATCAATCACTATTGATGTCTCAAAGTTTGTCAGTGGAAATTCTATTCTAGATGAATTTATCTATTATACAATATTTAACTCCAGTAACAATTTTGCTGATTATCTAATTAACAATCTTAAATTTTACAAACTTAATAATTATTCTTATAAATTTGGTTTTAAAGATATTCCACCAATGGAATGGATTCAATATTCTCAAATAACAAGTTTAGAAAAAATAGCGGAAGGTGGATATGGTATAGTTTATCGAGCAACTAGGTTAAATCCTTATAGCAATGATTATGATATCGTCGTGATAAAAAGAATCTTTCACTCTCAAACTATCAGTAAAAATTTTATAACTGAGGTAATTATTTAATACTACTTATATAAAAGACATTTTTACTTTATATTAAATTTTGCTATTATATAATAATTTTAGTTAAAATCGTTATATAATTGTAAAAATACTCAGATACACGTAAAAGTTATTCGATGCTATGGAGTTACAAAAGATCCCGAGACAAAGGAGTTTATGTTAATAATGATGTATGCAAAAGGAGGTGATTTGCATAATTATTTACAAAAAAATTTTAAAGATATTACATAAGATGATAAATTACGCATTTTATATCATATTTCACTAGGGTATTTATATTTTTAATTATATTTATAAATGTTGATTAAATAATTAATTAACATACTAAATATACATATAATATTTTAGACTTTGTGATATTCATAAAAACAATATTATATATTGAGATCTTCATAGTGGAAATATATTATTATCATCGACTCGTTCGTTTGAAGAGTGTGAATAATGTTGCATTGGAGATCTAGGATTATCACAACCCACAGATTTTTTGCAGAATAATGAAATATATGGTGTTATACCTTATCTAGCACCTGAAGTATTTAAGAGTTTTAAGTTTTCAAAAGAATCTGATATTTATAGTTTTGGTATGATAATGTGGGAATTAACATCAGGTTGTAAACATTTTGCCAATGTTGAATATAATATTAACCTTATTTATGAAATCATTGATGGAAATCGGCCTAAAATTACTCAAGATACTCCAGAAATTTATGCTAATTTAATGAAAAGATGTTGGGATCCTGATCCTTTAAAAAGACCTTCAATAGAAGAAATTAAAAACTCAATCATACAGAACTATTTGTATAAATTAACTTATGTTGATAAAAAAACAATTAAACTATCTGAAATGAAAAGATTGAGATTGATACAGTCAATGAAATTTGATCTTGAATTTAGTGAAAAACATCCAAATTTATATAAGCAGATCATTAAGTTCTTTGATTTCGATAACTTCATCCATAAATTTATCTATGGAAAATGTATATCATACAAAACAAGGTATTTATTTAAATGATTATATTGATTTGAATAATCAAAATAATACAATTAGTTATTGTTTTATTGATATAATTTTCTTAGAATATTTAGAGTATATTTCAAAAGAATATGATTTGAATCTAAATCCTCAAATTAATGCTACTTTCATATGACTTTCATGTTACTATATAGTTAATAGTAGGGTTTTATTTTTTAACCATTAAATAATTAATTTATTACTTTAATTGGCTATATAGAAATGATAAATATACTTTAGTGTGGTAAATACTATTAAAATATTTAATTTAAAAAATTAAAAGTAGTTTTCATATTTTATATGTATCTTAATAAAAGTACAATTATTTTCTACCTCATTACTTTATATTGGCTATATAGAAGTAATAAATAACTAGAGCTATGGATATTTCAGGTCAGGTCAGATAATTGATTTAATTCGATCTGATTAATTTTACATTGTGAAAAGGATAATTTTCATAACAAATCTTTTTAGCTAAATAATAAAATTAGCAAATTATAATTTTTGTATTTAATATACATAATTAAATAATATTTTATTATTTATATGTATATTTTTTAAAATATTTTCTAAAATTAAATTTTCTTTGCATGGCACTTCAAATTTAAGATAGTTTAATATTTTTTAAATAATAAGATTCATTAGGGATGCTAATGGTCACAGTCATAACCGGTCATAAACGTGACCAATATCGATCAGTTAAAGGCTCCTGACCGACCGGTTAACTGACCGTTTCTCACCAATTTTGACCGACCGGTTGACCAACTGACTTGAGACTGAACCACCATGTTTTAAATAGTAAAAACACTTTGTATTAAAAAATTAAGAAAATCAACATTTTATTTTATTATCTATAAATTAAAATTTTGAAATTAAGTTCGTGATAATACTGCATCACTAAATAAATAACAAAGTAGTTTTAAAAAATGCCATGCTAGAATTGTTAAAGCAAGAATCAAATTTATAATATTTGCCTAAATTAAAACTTTCTATTAAGTTAAAACTGCTCAATTATTTTATTATTAAACGGTCAGTCAACAGGTCAGTTAAAATCAGTCAGTTAATCTTTAACCGACTGTTAACTGACCATTGACAGACTACGACCGACTGTTACCATTTCTAAGATTAATAATATATGCAATATATAGTACATGATTTTGTTTGCAATTAAATTCTTTATGATTTTAATGTAAGATTTTTCAAATTCTTAAGAGAGGTATTATTATTAACAGCATTATTTGTTATAAATATAAGAACCTAAATTTAATTATACATTATATATTATTATTATTAATATTAACCTTTTTTTTCTTCAAGGTAATTAAAAAGAATCTGCTATATTTTCACCTGAATAAGAATCTTTAAGATCAATAAAATCAAGAAAAATATCTTTAAAATTCTAATTTAGATCAATATTATTTCAAGAAAGACAATAGTATTAAGTGAAGTCTAAACATTTAATGCAAAACTTATTTTTTCTGAAGCATTCTTTAATTAATAAAATAGGACAAATCTACTTATAATATCATATTATGCATCTTATTTGTAATATTCTCAATTTTATCTAATCAAAATTTAAGATTAAGTGTAATATCAATAATTTAACAAATTAAAATAAAAGATCAGTTATATAACTAAAATAAGAATTTTTTTAAAAACTATTTATAACTGATAATTTTATCTATAAAACTGTCTTTAATACATTAAGTAAAAGTTTTCAAATTTAAATTTTGTATTTAAAAATCTTATTTATAAAATATTTAAAATAATTTATTATTAAGAAAAGAAAAATAAAAAGGGTGTTATAAATAAAACTTGCAACAGGCGTTATAATACATTTATTAATAAAATAAATAAATTTAGTTATATAATAATTATAATTTTTAGTACTCTATAAAAATCAAATTAGATTAAATTTAAGATATATTCAAACATTTAAACTTAAATCTGTTAATAATTATAGAACCTGAATTTAATTTAATCTTATTTGACTTAGATTCAACTTGATCTAATAATTTTAATTTAGATTTGAAAGGATAATATTGAAGCAGAAAATAAAAAAAGTATCATATATATAAAGTCTATTTTATTTTAATAAATAATTTTTTTTTTTATTAGCATTAATCCTAATTCTTTTTTTTTTCATCTTTTTCTACTAGAATTTCAATTATATATAAATGAATTGTATTAGCTTTAATATTACATCATTTGATTGGTATCAATTTAATTCCACTAAAAAAACTTGTTCTACTGAAATACTTATTATTTTATAAAAAAAAATTGTATTAGTTAATAATATTTAATAATCAATAATTTTTTTTTACCTATAATTATTTACTTTACAATATTTTTCATTTTTTAGAAGAAAGTAATATAATCAGTAATATTGATAGATTAGGTTTATTTATTATTTATTTATTACAAATTTAAAATTGCAAAATATAAAATAAAAAAATCTAGCGTTTCAAGTTTTATTATATTATTTCATAAGTTATAACTAAAAAATTACAATAAATATGTAATATAATATAAAATACATTTAAATTTTAAATAATTATATAAATATACAAATTATTTAATTATTAGATTACTGCAAAATTATAGTATTGATTAGCTATTACTTATTTTCTTGCAATCTGAGTTGCCAGATTATCAAAAAGTACTCAGCAACAAATTTATCATATGTTTTGTGACTTATAATCGCCTGATTATTTAAGTCACCTAGATTGATTTAGGTCAAGCAAAAATGTGATCCTGATCCAGTAAGTTTTTTTAAATTAAAATTCATATCATAAAATGATAGTTTTAATTTGAGAAAAAATTTGAGTTTGATCAGTTAATTTGATCATTTCAGAGTATTAAAATTTAATTTATAATATTAAATTTATAAATAATAAATTAATTAATTCTTTTTAATCTGTAATAAGTTTTATATTTTTGTTTGATAATTATTAAAAGTTTAAAATATCATTTTTAACAGTATCTGCTATTGAAATATATGTTAATAGATTGAGAAGTTTATTAAATTATAAAATTCTAAAGATTAAATAATAGTAATGGTTAATTATTAGTAATGATCTATATAGTGAGTTTTTTACAAAAAATATTATTGATAAATAATTAAAAATAAATAATAATTTAATAAATTTACTATATTAATTATTAAAAATAAGATAAATAATAAATTATATTTATAAGTTATTTGTATTCTTATAAAAATTTTTCAAAAATTTTGCTTACTTTGCAATAGAAGAATTAATTTTATATAAATATATAGTACTAATATAGCAAATTAAACTAGGAAATGAAGACTATGATTAAATCTAAAATGATCTTAACTAAAAAAATATTGCAAAAGCCAATCAGTATCGATTCAATTTTTGAATAAGCAGATATCAAAATACTTTACGTAAATATATATAATCCTTTACTTTATTCTAGACTAATTACTAGTAAATCCTTTATTAATTAAATTATATTTATGATTACTATTAAAATAATATTATAAAGATATAAAATAAAAAATAAAAACTTTTTTATTTAAGATGTATTTTAGATTTCTTTACCTGTAATATTAATATTTTATTCAAAGTATACTTTTCATTTTTAAATTTTTCAAAATATTTTCATATTATACTTTCTTTTTTTATCATTTTTATCTAAAATATTTAAAGCTAAATTTGAAGTATTATCAACTTTATTTTTATTTTTATTATTAATTTCTTTATCTATTTTTTGAGTTTTTTTATTATCAAGTTTTTTTATCTATTTCTTAAATTTTTTCATTTCTTAAGTATTATCAGTAAAAAATTCTTTTATATTTCTTTATGGTAGCATTTATTAGTAGAATTTTTAGTTTATTTTTTTTTGATTAGTGATCTAATTTACTAATTTATAACTAATAATATTAAATTGACAAATTGTAGGGTTAATCAGGTCAGATTAAATCAAGTTAAAAATTATTTAACCTATATAATTATAATAATTTGTCAAATTTAATCTGAATTTTTAGGTCAAATCAGATCAAGTATTCAAATTTCAGTTAAAATTCAAAGTTCTATAAATAATTTTTTTAAAAATTAATTTTAAGTGATTATTGCTTATTTTAATAATAAATTCAGTTTTAATTTTTTAATTTAAAATTTTTATTGATTGAAAAATCCCTATTTTTTAAAAATAAAAACAGTAACCATTTATTTTGAGTAAAAGTAAATATTGATTATTAAATATTTTTAAAAAATCCAAAAATAGAATGAATAAAATTATTCAGCTATCGTAATCTTTAAACTTTAAAATTAGGAAATGAATATGCTTAATTTTTTAAAATAACTATTGTTTAAAAATAATACATTATTTGATTGTCTTTGTATTATACTATTTAAAATTATTTTTTGATTTTGATGCAAGCTCTAAAAAAAATTAAAACTTTTAGTCTTTCATGCAGAATAAATAAAACATAGATAATAGAATAAAAGATACTATACCTATATTTTTAAAACTGAATATTTAATATAATATTCTTTTCTGATCTACTTGGAATATTATAATTGATTGTGAGATAATCAAGTTTTTTGACAGCTTTAATATTATATTTACTGTAATATATATTAAATACCTTTTTATTAAGATTAGTTTGATATTTATAAAATAAATATATATTTTTGTCATTTTATATAATTGGGATTAACTAAATCTAGGTTCAATCATGATTTTTAGCCCAAATTATAGCATAATTAATAGCTCTATCACAAATAATATGTGAATAATAAGGAATTATTTACCAAATTTTAAGGTGTAAAATATATTTTAATTAGCCACATAATTGAACTCAACTTTTATTTTGAGTAATGCTAATAATATATAAATTTATTTTTTATGCTTTTAATAACTTTTGAATTGAATAAAAAATGTATATCAAGTTGATTTAATTTTAACTGATTTTATGAGATATATTTTTATAAAAAACAAATTTTTTAATTTCTATATGAATTAAAAATTGTAGATTATGTGACAAATCACAGATATAGGTCATTTATTTGCTATTAAAATTGAGTTACAAAATAGTAAATCATTTAATTTTTAACATGATTTTAATATATGTAAGTATTAAAAAAATAGGCAATTTTTATTTATATATGAGTGTATTATACATAGATCACATGTTATGACTAACATTAATATTACTTTTACTAATATAAAGAAATTAAGAACATACTCATGTAATAACTATGTAACAGATAGTTCATGACGAATAATAATATTTTACTGAAAAATTCTAAGTCCTTGAAATAAATAGTAAAAACTAAAGACAGAGAGGCATGATACCAGTAACAAATATATATATAACGTAATTTATATACATACATCCTGTATAAGCTTAGAAATTTTCTAAAAATATTATAACTTTTTATTTTATAATAAAATTAATTTTAATTTGTTATATTACACAATTTTTTTTATTTTTAAAAAAAGGAAATAAAATATCAAATTTTAACAGTTCAGGTTATCTTTTAAATTTAAAAAAGAAAAAATTAAAAAATAAAGCAGAACAAGCGAAATTTGAATGATATTATTAATAAATAAGATGATTAAATTATTAAACTTAACCATCATATTATTATTATACTTTTAGTATGTAACGATTACTAGTCAAAGTAGAATGATATGCTATACATTTATAACTAAGAAATTTTACATATATGACTTATTTCTTATTAATTTATTAGATATTTTAATAAATGTTAAATAAAATGTATTCAATGGAAATACTTTCAAAACTTGTTCAATTTCTATAAAATATACAAATATTAAATATCTGAATTTTCATATTAAAAAAATATATTACAATTATAATTTATATAATTTATACTTATTTATATGATATTTTATCGTTATTAGATCAAATATTATTTATATTTCATTTAAATTCGCAGTATATTAGTATAATACTTTATTATCAATAGTTATATATTAGAAAGAAATAATAGTAAAAACCTAATTATAATTGTAAAAATAATAATGATACATTTGCGATAAATGTCTTTGTATATATAATATAAATGTAATATATAAACTATATAAATCCTATTCTAATATATATAAATATTAAAAGCTAATTTTAAAATAATAATAAATATAAATAAAAGAGAATACTTACTAGAATCATAAAAGGTAGTTGTAACTTTAGTCCTAAAATGAATAGTTTGAGAAACTGGAATCAAATTCAATTTATTTTATTTTCTAGATTTTGAAACAAATTCTATTATTTTCTATTCATTTACTGTATCCTTTAATGGAACTTATCACTATTTAGATTCAATACTATTGTTATTAATTTGTTTTTTAAGATTGATATTCAGTTTGTTGAGTTATGATTAATTGCTATTTCTTTTAATGAAATCCTTTATTTTTTAGATTCAATACTTGTATCATTACTTTGTTTTTTAAAGTTATCATTTAGCATAACTTGATCAGATAATAATTGATTATTCCTTAAACTGTAGAACAGGTAAATTTGCCTATGAACATAAAAAAAAAGTATTAATTTTTTAATAAAAATAAAATTAATGTTAATAATATAATATTATATAAAAAATATAGTTTAATATATATTTTATCAACTTTATTAAAAGAAATTTAAGTTTATTATGAAGTTTTTTAAATAATTCTATTTTTAAAATTAAGTTTTAAAAAATTTATTATAATAAATTTTTAAAAATTTTCTTAAAATTCATATATTTGTGAACTAATTAAATCACTTTACTATTAATAAAAATTATAAGATTTATTAAAAAATTATAAAACTGTAATAATTAAAATTATTCTTCATGATAAATTTTATAATATTCTATTATGATTAATATTGTTAAAAGTATATGTTAATAAGATGATCAAAGGTCAATAATAAAATTTTTTAATTTATAATTTTTTAAAAATTATAAATTTTTAGCTTATAAGTCACTAATAAATTATTTATTATATAATTAAAAAATAAAATTTACTATAATATATATATATTTATAAAATTAATTTGAAAAAAAAATTTTTTAAAATTTTAATTTTTCATAAAGTAAATCAGAAGGGAATTTATAGTAGGCAAATTTGCCTATGAACTTCTACAGTTTAAGGAATATGCATTATTAGATTCAATATTTATTTTTGTAAAATCTGTTAATTAGTAATCAAATGTTTTTTTGGATTGCAAGTTATCAATGAAGCTTATCGTAATCTATAAGTATAAAATTGTAAGAATAATTAAACAATTAATTATGCAGTTTTGAATTAATATTACTTAATCATTATTTTTTAATGAGAATAATTGTTCAAGATCTATATCTTGATCATTAAAATTAACCAGTAATTTTATTAAATTATCTCATAAAGATTTAAATAAACTATTTATTAAATAGTAATTATAATAATAAATATTTACCTGAAAATCTGAATAATGAAATTTGTTTAGAAGTAGCATTTATTTCAGAAGTCATAGGTATAAATCTTGAATTAGACATATTTTTATCATCTTTGAAATCTAAATCAATTGCATTCAAAAGAATAGTATTTAAATCAAATTATTTAATAGCCTATTGTAAAAAATTTAATGATGTTGAACAGGCTAGAATAAATGATGATGATTTGTAAAATTTAGCTTTATTTAAAGAAATAGATATATGTTGATAAGAAATTGTTATTCTACCAGCAGATCCTTTATGCTTTACTTGACGTTATTATTCAATTTTAACCTAAGCATTAATAATTTCACATACTCTTATAACCTATAATCAAAATAAATATACATAATAATATTTATATTTTAATAAAATATTAATATTAACAATTTAAAATTATTATACTTCATCATTATGTCAAGGAATATAAGAAATAAAATAGATTTCTTTAGATAAGGTTGATCAACATCAGCAGTCTAAAATTTTTCATTTTTACTAATCTTAGATGACATTAATTTTTGTTGTTATAATGGTTTCATAGCTTCAAATAAAATTTCAAAAAGGGTAAATAAAATTAAGACAATTATTTAAGAAATCATGAATAAGGATTTACAGTAACGTTTAAGATTATTTTTAATATAAAATTACATAAGATAAATACAAAATAAACACAAAAGTAACTCAAAGTTATTTCAGTGATTACACTATGCAAATTAATTATTAAATTTTACTAATTCTGAAGGTAAAAAATAAGTCTGAATGAGATATCAGATGCTTTATTATAGAAATTAAATAAATATTTCATAATTAATCTTTGATTGAATATAATATATATATTAGTTAAAGATTAGGAATAAATTTTTATTAATTTAATATTAATTTTAACTGATTTATCTAAAGTAACTACATATTGCTTAACATCAAAATCTGCAAGTACAAATTATTTATATTATTAATATATAATTTCTAAAAATAATTTATCAGATATCATTTAAATAAACAAAAATTAATTAAATGAATACTAGAATCTATAAAGATTACAATAAGTAATAGTTATAGAAAAGATTTATCAATTACTTATTTTTAAAATTCTTTATAAAATCTTAAGTAAGTAAAGTTAATGTGTAATTAAGTTTGACTTAATTAACAATTTTTTTAATTTTATTAAAATTTTAATCATTTAGATATTAGTTTATTTAATTATCAACTTAAATATAACTGACAATTTCTTGAATATTTTAGTAGACAAGATATAAATGAAATCGATAAATGATTGAGCTTGATATCACATTTTTCTAATTTAAAGATTTTTAAATGTGATTTACAAAATATTAAAAATTTTACTGCTTCTAAATATTGAGATATTATGAAAGTTGCTGTAATTATAGTTGAAGGAATCTTAGATTCTGTTAATAAGAGAATAGATATTTAGTTAACTGAACTTTATTATCAATAAATAGTTATGTATATAATGAATTAAAATGATAATTATATTGAATTATCTTTAAGGTAACTAAATGTGTTTATATATTATAATTTTTAATTTCAAGTTAAAAAAGTTTTATTTGACTTTTAAAATGCAAGATTGCTTGAAAAATACATTTATTTATTACAAATTTATTCTCTATCTAAACTTAGTTTAGTAAGCTTCACTCCTGGTTTATCATATTGATAAATTAATTCATGAATATAGCTCAATAAATGGTTAGACTATAGAGACCTATGAGAATCTTCATAAAGATTATATCTTATAACAAACATGATATTGACATACAGATTATTGGATCAGTAAATATTTAATGATTTTAGCTTCTGATTTAAAATTTATTTAAATTAAAATTTTGTTATATTCGTAGACATATGATATTAACTTGTTAAATCCAACCAATGATAAAATCAAAAAAAAAAACCAACATTTATAAAAATTATAAGTTAATTCGAGGAATAATTTGTCGTCAGTCATGTGTTGATCAACAATTAGCGCATGTAAAAAGTATAAAAACGTCATCATTATATGAAAATTTAGCAAAAAAAGTTCGTCTAGAAGCTACTTATAAACTTTCCTCTTGGCGATAAATATATAATTCAATTTGTCGTCAAACTTGTGATTTCTATCCTACGATCCTACAAGAAAATAATCATTCACCAACAGGAGATAAAGTAAAACGTATATCAAACATATTTATAGAAAAATTATGACTCTTTAAAGAAAATAGTTGGAGAATAAATAGAATGTTTTCAGTGCCCTTGCTCACGAATACAAGAATTTTGTAAATTCAAGTGCATATTGCACAAGAGTTGTTAAGGAAATGGAAATTTATTGGAAATTGATATATGATGAGAGTTTCGTGTTGGAATTTACTAGTTGGATACATACACACAGGCTTACCTTATCACCTCGTTATTTAGTAAAATCTTCTTATTCGTTAAAATCCCAATATTATACTTTGCCAAAAAATAATGGTACAATCAAAAAAACGAAAATACGTGTATGTACAAGTGTATATGATGCAATAAATTTCATCAAAATCATTAGCAAATACTGCGTCGTTGAATTATTTTTTCAAACGATCGGATTCCTTCTAGGTTACGTCACATTCTTATTTTCCTACAATAATAATTATTGAACGAAATGAAATTGTTAAACAACAGCATAAAGAATTACAGTAAATTTCGTCGCGAGAAAATTATTTTGGAAATGAAGAATGGAAAATGTTCAAGAGGATCTACGGACATGTCTTTATTTCATTTGTAGTAATAATCAAGATGAAATCTTTGTTGATGGGTTGAGACGGTACACAAATATAAGCATTTTATTTATTTTTAAATAAAGGTATACTGTATATATATTCATAAACTAGACTTTTTTGATTTAGTTCAATAAGTCACATCACATATTATTTGTGTTAGTTTCCCTATGTGAAAACACGGTTTTTTGATGAAATCGACGTGATTCTCTCATCAAACACCTTATAATAAGTATTTGTATAACAGGTGAAAATTTATTACTGTTGTGGAATTCTTAATTAGCGTTAGTGTAAATTTTAGAGTATTCTAAATAAATTTACTTTTCGTTCTTTTTAAGGACTATTGATATATTTTGTTAGATAGTTTTTTTTTGCTTGGACATTGTAAAGCGGAGGAGCTGCTCGATGTTCACGATGATACTGTAAATGATCATCAGCAGCATTTCCCTATTCCATCACGAACTTTCGACTTGACCCCAGTGTAGAAGTTAAACCGGTTAACGAATAATTTAACCGGTTATTAACCGGTTAAAGCTTTTTAGGCCGGTTCCAACTACCTCAATGAATTTTTATTTTCCGACTTGAAATAAGTTTCAGTTGGAAAGTTTCCCTCATTTCAATGTTTCTTCAACAGTAAGTCATCTTGAAAATGATGATGTAATCATTTTCTGACAAACTTTTAAGACGGCAAATCTTAGCTTTTTATTAAATATATTCTAATCAATAAAAAGAAATTGAAAAAACTGCACTGCCTAAATGAAAGGATTAATGTTTTTTTTCATTTTTGTTTTAATTATAATTAAAAAAAACATCATGATTTTTTAGAAGACAATTCAGTGAAGAAACGAAAGGTTGTCTAAAGTGAAAGTTAAGTTTCTTTAATAAAAAGACTTACCACTTCGTCTTTGATAATAAAGAAATAATAAATTAAATCCGAGCGGATCCGAAATAAATTTGGTTCGAGCCGGAAATAATATATACATGTATAAATACTGAAATAAATATGTATATAGGTAGGACAACAAGATTTATTTACCGCTGTTCCCATATAATTTATGAGAGGTTAATTAAGGGTTAATTTTTCTTTTTATGTTTAATAAGGCAAGTTAAAATCAGAGATGTGTTAGAGTACTATCATACGTGTAATAAATTTTTCGAAAATTTAAATAAATCCTGCTAAAATTAATTAATTTTATTATTTTTTATTTTTATCCTAGAAACAAAAGTATGATTACCGCAACTACAATATGTTGCCTGAAATTTTGAAACTAATAAAATTATACAAAAATATTTCGTCGCCAATCATTTCCCAAAGCTTCGATATTTCGGGTTTTAATTATTCGTGGCGCAGCGATTTTTTGATAATTTAAAAATGTCGAAAAAAAAGTATTTGAAAAGTATTTGTTTATAAGTCAAAGATTGTTTCGCATATTTTGGATAATTTGGCTATGAAAATCGAGTTACGTACATAGAAATCGTATGGGGGCTAAGCTATTAAAATCACCTTTTGGGACCCCACCAACCAAATTGAACTTTATTTGGTTAAATTTTTATAGTCGATTATATTATTAACAAAGCAAGCAATTAGGCTGTCAAAATTTCTCGAAAAATCTAACATTAGAATTTAAAATGATCAACATAAAATTTGGAAATGATCGACATTATTTATTCAAAAAGTTTCGGACCCTTATAACATTCAAAAAATTTTAACCATTATTTTGATTAAATGAGAGGTATTTACAAATATATATAAATATAAAAAATAATTTTTCTTTAAAAATTGAATTTTCTAATAAATTAGTGTAACAATGTCCGTAGGTGATTTTAATAGCAAAATCTCAAGTGTTACGAAATGATTTTCAAGTATCACAAAAATTAGTCTGTAAAAAATAATTGCAAAAAATTTTAATAATAATTTAATAGTAAAATTTTAAATAATAAATTTTAGTATCGTCTTATTAATTAATTTGGCTCAAAATATAAAAATAAAACAATTTATTATTGGTTGGAAATGTTTACTGTGGCGTAGCATTTTTTTAATCATCATTTACTCAAAATCAATTTCTTATCCCGTTCCCGTAAGGTGATTTTAGTAACTTAGCCCCATATGGTCCGTAACGTGATTTTAATAGCAAACCCATTTGTACACTTAAACTTCGTTAATTGTTAGGTTCTTGTTCTAATAAAATGCATGATTTTCGAAAAAGACACGGTTGTGTTAATTGTACTACATAAACAATTTTATGTAGATATTGGAATTCTCAAAAAGTTATTACTTTATATGGTAATATATGTCCCTAAAATATTACCTAATAT